ATTCCATGAGTGCAATGCACCTGGTATTTCCGGTCAGTCTGGTTTTCACCTTCCTTCCGAAAGCAGTTATTGTGAACATGTCGCGTAGGCGAACACAGTACGCCGCCCCTCCAAGTATGTACAGAAAGAATATTGTACCTCCTGAAGATTATTGGCGCGTTTTAGAAGAAGTCTCGGTTGATGAAGACTCCGACAATTTGGATAACGCATCTGATGTCGATGAATCGGAAGTCATCGAACATTCTGATCATGAAAGTGACTCAGGAATTGAGGGAAATGTTTCTAAAAATCCTCATTTTCCTTCCTCAAATGATGTTTCCTCAACAAATGTCGATTTTAGTGATGATGAAAATGACATGAGTGATTTAAAATATGAGGACTTTTTTGTAAAAACAATTTACAAAAAGAAGAAAGTTGGGGGAAAGTTTCTGAAAGAAGAAAAGGAAACTTTTAAGTGGAATAAAGTTCCCCTCAAGAGCAAATTCGCCAGAGCGCCTCGAAAACATTTGAAGAAAAAAATATGCCCAAGTGCCAAAACTTGTGACGATATAAATGATGAGCTTTCTGCTTTCCAGAAAATCACAAATACAAATATGATTAATGCTATCGTACAATATACAAATATTTATCTCAAATGTAACAAGACTGCAGATGATCTCCAAAACATCTCAAAGAGAAGCATGTATGATACTAATAGAGCAGAAATTTTGGCCTTTTTAGGAATTTTATTCTTATTAGGGTGCAAAAAAATGTTAAAACTCATTTGGAGGAAGCATGGGCAAAGACGGTACTGGAATTGAAATTTTGCAAGGAGTCATGGGTCTCAAGCGATTTAGAAACCTGTGCGCTGCTATTAGATTCGATGATAAAAGCACAAGGTATGTGCGAAGAAAAACTGATAAGCTTGCTGCACTAAGAGAATTTTTTGAATCTTTCAATCAGAACTGTCAAAACATTTATACCAGGTGACGAACTCACAATCGACGAGAAGTTGGAACCCTTCTGCGGGAGATGCTCTTGTATTCAATTCATGCCCAGCAAGCCTGCAAAGTATGGTCTGAAAATTTTTGTAGTTGTTGACTCACGAACGTTTGTTTTATACATTGAAGCTTGAAATTTACTGTGGCAATCAACCCCTAGGACCTTATGAGGCTTCTAACTCAAGTATTGACATTGTCAAAAGGCTAATTGGTGCCTACGAAGGTTCCAACCGTAACCTGACGACCGATAATTGGTATACAAGCTACCCTCTAGCTCAATATCTTCTTACCAAAGGTATAACACTTGTGGGCACGCTGAAAAAAAAAAAAAAAAAAAAAAAAAAAAATAAAAAATATAAATAAAAATAAAAGGAAATTCCAAATGAATTCCAGCCATCAAAAACGAGAGAAGTCGGCAGTTCACTGTTTGGTTTTCAAAAGGATATGACAATTGTTTCATATGCAACGAAAAAAAAAAAATAAGTGTGTAATACTGCTCAGTACTTTACACGATGATGACAAAATTGACCAGGAAACGAATAAACCTCAAATAATCCTGGATTATAACAAATGTGAAGGCAGATTTAATACCGTAGACCAACTTTGTAGTAATTTCACTGTCGCCCGAAAAACCAAGAGGTAGACAATGGCAATATTTTTTGCAATGCCAAACGTAGCGGGCATAAATTCGCAAGTGCTCTTGAACTTCTCCAAACCTGATGCAACCATCAAGTTTAGAAGATATTTTTTGAAAAATCTAGCTACATCTTTGATGAAACCACATCTTCAGAATCGTCTGAAAATGCCATTTCTCCTGTCGCATTCCAAAGCTATTATTAGAAGGCTGGTAACAACAGAAGCGGACAGGACGGCCGAAAGGGACGAGGAACCACCTGCAAAAAAGATCAAAGGACGCTGCGCCGAGTGCGGTAGAATGAAGAATAACTACACTACCATAAAATGTTCTGAGTGTTCTAAGTTTACCTGCAAAAATCATCTGGGCAAGAGAGTACAACTTTGCAAACCCTGCTGCAGTGAACAGGGACAATCGGAAAAGAATTAAAGTAGCAAAAGGTTTTCAATTTTTTCATTTGTGAAATTTATTACTTAACAAACTTTTTTTTACGGAATATTTATAATTTGTAAATTTGATTTATGTTCTTATAATTTTCATACAGAAAATAATGCAGAATGCTATTTAACTTTAAATTACATTTCCAGTGCATTCCACTTTTTGAATTAATTAAAAATTCATAGTTTCCATCTTTACTGCAGCTTTTTTTCTGTTATTCTTTTCCTTATATCATTTTTAGTATGACGAATCACCTTACACCTTATTAATGCCATGTATAAGATTAAATAGTTTCAAACACAAAGCAGAGGCTCGAAAAATGACCTGGCGTACTTCATACGCCGCCCCTCTAAAATTGTACCATACGCCAGCCCCTCCAGCTGAGGGTTAAGGAGACAAATAGAGTGATCTTCCATTAATTGTTCGATCTGCCGGCCCCTTGAATTAGTGTCCCTACTTCCCCATAATGTACTATGGGCATTCAAGTCACCTAAAAGCAATAAAGGTTCTGGGAGCTGCTCTATTATTCTGTCCAACTTTCGCTGATCAATATGCTCATGTGGGGGTAAATAAACGGTGCATACGGAGATTGAAAAGCGTAAATTAATGTGAACCGCCACAGCTTGAAGGGAGGTCATCAAAGGGAGAGCAATGTATTGGTGATTGTGGGAGGTGATAAGGCCCACACCACCGCAGGCACGATCCGCAGATGGGTTGTCCTTTCTTACTGTTGTATATCTTCATATTTTAGCATGTCTGTTTGGTTTTAACAAGGTCTCCTGAAGCACAAGGCAGGCAGGTTGATGCATGTTTATTAAATCCTTGATGCTATCCAGGTTTTGACGAAAACCCCGGCAATGCCACAAAATACATGTACCCATTATTGATGCTTATTTTGGCGGTGTTGGTGTTTCTGAGGCAAAAGGTGTTTTGGAAGGGATAACCCTTCTTCAATGTCCATTTCGTCGGAGTCATCTAAGCATCCTGAACTCATGCTTGCGATAGAACTTTGACTGGGGGTTCTGGGTTTTTGCTTAATTTTCTCTTTGATACCATCTCTATGTTTGTTCTGTTGGACATCCTGTTTTCCTTTGGGCGCAGTCACCGGTGTACTAATTTCAACATCAGGTTTTTCCCGCTGATTTTTGGTTTCTAGGATCTTCTGTCATTGATAGTTCTTTTTTCTGTGTGGTTATTGTGGTTTGTGTTGATATTGATCTGAATGATTTTGTTGCGGAGGCATAAGATTTATTAGATCTTGGCTGATTAGAGAGAACAAGTCTTTTGGCTTCTGCAAATGATATCTTTTGTGTAACTTTAATGTTTTGAATTTGTTTTTCTGTCTGCCATTTCGGACATGATCTTGAAAAAGCTGGATGCTTGTCCCTTTACAGTTTATACACAAGGGGGAAGCAGAGCAGCCTTCACTTAGCATGTGGCCTACGATGGAACATCGAGCGCACATGAGGCTACCGCGACAAGAGGTCTTTCCATGTTCCAAAGCGCTGACATTGAAAGCAATGCATTGGATTTGGTATATATGGCCTGACTGAACAGTTTAGGTATCCAGCTTTGATGTTTTTAGGCAGGTTAGGAGACTTGAAAATAAGTATGACATGTTTGGTGGGAATGAGTTGACCTTTTTTCCATATTTTGATCCTATGAGCACCTCACACGTTTTGATCTGGAAACTCTTTAACAAATTCCTCTTCAGTTACTGACAGTAAGTCTATTTCAGAGATTACTCCTCTGGACGAATTTAGAGTGTTATGTGGCTTAACTAGAATGTTTGCTTGTCCTAATTTAGTTAGTTTCAAAAGACTATTAGACTGCTCTCCAGACACAGTTTCTATCAAAAGGTCTCCAGATCAAAGTCTCTTAATATTTTTCACTTCTCCTACAGAAGACAAAAGATTTATTAGAAAGGGTGACATTTTTTTCAATTCTTCAGAGCTGGTTATAATTAAGAAACGTGGACAAAGTACATCTGATGCAGTGCTTTCTATGTCGCTTCTTAGTCTTTTAGTCACAGTCAGAGTATCGGGTACATTGTTGGAGCAGGAAGGTATCATAGTATTCATATTTAAATGGAGAAGGATTCGGGTCCGACTGCCCCACCCACCATGGAGCCCAACAAGGGGACGCAGATTCCTATGCCAGGGCTAGCCGGAAGTATACGCAATCTGAAGTTCCACAGTCAGCTTTCTCAAAAGCAGGCACTCCCAAGAGCTTGTCCCCAAGCCACTAACACAAGGACTAGTGATCAGCTGATTGACACCCATGAGGACAACAAGGTGCCTCCCATTTAACTAAAGCAGAGGCCAAAGCAGTGTGTTGAGGACAGTACCTCGCCCCTCAACTACCAGGACCCTCCTTTCCAGTGACACGGGTCTCCATGCTCGGCAAACACTTGGGCAGTTTTCTCGCCATTCGAAGAACTAGGGACAAGGCTGTTCCAGTTTCTTATAGCCCGAACGTCGGAAGAGGAAACCACATAGGAGAAGGAAAACGGGAAAAGTTGCAGTGAAGAGGAGAGGAAGCAGAAAGGAGGAGAGATCACTGGGGTTCCAGGATTGTGACACCCGATCACCAAGACGGTAATCCCCTGAAGGATCTTCACCTGCTATGCTTTAGCTGGGCATGTTGGAACGGCCTTCATGCCTAGGGTGGCCCTACCAGGAGCTATGCTCCCGATGTACTTTGCCCGCTCCGCCCAGTGACACCCCCCGCCATGTTGAGGCAGCATAGCAGGACTTGGGGGGGCATCCACTTAATGTAACAAATTACTTAAATAAAATGCAAAATATTACCTAACAAATTAATTAAAATATGCTTAAAAATTAGTTAGAAAGTAATATTAACATATTATTATTTGGCCTCTTACACTAATAAGAAAATACAGAAAATAAAAAAAAGGAGGGGGGAGGGGAACGTAAATATATAATTACCTTAAAATATTCATTTATTTTTTTTGCTGATTCAGGTCTTGTGTTTTTTCCTGAATATACCAAATCTGAAATTATAAATTTACAGCATACACATGTTAACACTTGTGATAGCAAATAAAATAACTTTATATCACATAACAAATGCTGAAAATACTACCTAATTAACTACAGGAAATATACTACTAATAATAAAAAAGCTCTTGATTAGCTAATCATTTATAGAAGCATGTATATTTTATAAACAAAGATTTTTTTCATTGTTTAAAAAATAAATTTTACTTTTAAGGAAAAAAAAATACCATTTAGTCAGTTTAGTTTCCAATAAAGCAACTTTTTCACTAAGATAAATAAGTGTCAAAATTATTTTTCATCGTTTCCAACATAAAATATTATTATAGAATGATTATAATTAAAATTCTCATTTCAAAATAGTCTGAAATAAGAACTACCGGTCAGATATCATGCAGTTTGAAAGCCAGCACTCATGAAGCAATAGAATTGTGTTTCGTGAAAAGGGAAAAAATTGCTATTAGTGAAGTAATTGGTGCTTTTTCCAGCAGAACATGACATAAAAGTAACAAATATTTACAAGCATCAACAAATAGAGTGTGCTGTGTTCGGTTTCTGATACAAGCTGAAACTGCAAAACAGACTGCTTACACAACACAGCTGTGCATTTTGGCAGAAATGTGGATACAAATGAGAGTTGCCAGTTTTTTGCTTCTGTTAAATTTACAAGACAGCTGCTAAGTTTTTCCCCCTAGATCAGGGATAGTCAACCTTTTTATATCTACTGCCCACTTTGTAGATAGTAAAACTTCCTTACCAACCATCGGTTTTGTAGTAAATTAGTTTAATATAAATGCAAAGAAATTGAGTAAAAATACAAGGGTCGTTCAAGGTTGACCCGGATTTTCTTATGTAAATAATCGATGAATAGCCGGATGATGATGAAACTTGCGGGTGACATAATGTATTCCTTCTCGAGTAACTAGTGCCCGGCATGATGTAATTTGGCATATGTGCAGATGTTGCAGCGAACATGGCAGCAAGCAGTATGTCTGTGGAGCAACGGTGTGTAATCAAATTTCTTGTGAAGGAGAAAATTAAACCAGCTGTCACAGACAAGAATATAGGAATGGTGTTAACAGTTTTACGAAGGATGGGACCTGGTGACAAATGAAGAGCATGGACATGCCTGACAGCAGTCACACTAGTGAATATTGCACATGTTGAGCAAATGATTCTTGAGAACTAGCAAGTAACAGTGCAGGATATTGCTGCCAAGGTGAATATCAGTGTCAGGATTGTTGAAACAATCATTCACGACCACTTACACTTACGCAAAATCTTGGCAAAGTGGGTTCTCCCACCAGCTGACATTTAATCAGAAGTGGTCAGGCATGACGGTCTGTGAACAGCTTCTGAATCGGTTTCAAGATGAAGGTGATGAATTGTTGCAATCCATCAATCACATGTGATGAAACATGGTTACACAATTCAACTCCTGAGACCAAAAGAAGCAGCATGGAGTGGCAGCATAAAGGCTCCCCGCCGCCCAAGAAAAGCAAAACACAGCCATCGGCTGCAAAGATCATGGCAGGTGCTTTTTGGAACATGAAGGGCCCAATTTACCCCATTTTGGGGACATGTATTCATGTGGATTTTCTGGACAAAGGGAGCACAATTAATGCCCAGTGTTTCTCCACATTGTTGAGTAGTGCTGTATGAAAGTCCATTTGCAAGAAAAGACCTGGGAAGATGTCTGGAAATGCCATTCTTCTGCATGACGATGACCACCCTCACACGGCAAATGTAACAACAACTCTGGCCAAAATGCACTGGGAAGTTCTGCCCCATCCTCCCCCTACAGTCCAGATTTAGCCTACAGTGATTATCATTTGTTTGCATCCCTTAAAGATCATCTGGCAAGAAAGAAATTCACGAGAGATGAAGCACTGCAGAAAGATGTCCTTCAGTGGTTATGACAACAATCAAGTTCTTTCTATGCCAAAGGAATAGTGAGCTACCACAACAATCGCAAAGGTGCCTTGACGCGCATGGAGAATACTTTGAAAAGCTGACATAGTTTGGTGCTTCTTGTGCTATCTGTTTCCTTTCAAGTAATAAATGTTCCAGTCAACCTTGAACGACCCTTGTATATACAGCTAAATTTATTCATTTATTTATACTTTCCTTGAATCTATAACAGACAGAAAATTTATGTCACACGTAGCTAGCTGGGACATCGACTCCAGCGAAACTGTTTTGACTAAGAAACTTTCAGTGGTAAGAAAAGGAGAAGTTCATTTTATGCAAAAATTTATGCTACTCTCACACTTTGTTAAGATGTGATAATCCTATTATGTGTCAATCCTATTATTAATTATAGTCACAGAACAACATCTAGGAAAAGTGGCAAAGCCTTATATGAAAACAGGAAAGAGCTGTGCACAGAAAGAATGATCTTTCATCATCAGACAGACTAAATCCGCTACTGTCTACTACTTGCCTACTAGTGGGTTGAAGGGACCAGGTTCACTATACCCGCCCTAGATAATGCATAAAGCAACAAATTACAAGTTCAATTCCAGTGAATATCCTAGCCATCTGATTATTTCTTCTTCATTTGAAAATGAGTGTTGAGTAAATGCTTCTTTGATATTGTAGTAAGACTAAATGTTTTAAGACTGTAATAGTGGAATTAAGACATCGATGCTGCTGTAGTGTATACATAATGCAGTTTTATAAAAAAGATTCATACTGATGGTCTAAGACAGAATACATGATAAAGTTTTCAGGAACCATACCATCCTCAGAAAACACATGGCTGGCAATAAATGCTACTTTAAATATTCTCCATAGTAACATTTGGCAAATGAAGGGGGCCTAACACAGCAGACGTGAATTTTTGGTTGTTCAAATTCTGCAATTTTCCATATTAACAGTACCATTAAGCTTGTGGCTTATGTCTTCATCAATTCATAAAATGTTTTAGCACTTTACATTATGAATTTAACTCATAGCAAGAAATTGGTGCATGAACATTTCTTGTGCATTTTTGTTCAAATATAACAACTTTTGAAAACTTTCAGCACCATGCTTGAGAGTATGGTGATCAGGCAGTGCTACGTACACTGATAGATGTATGAGCACTATTGTCTTCCTGTAACAGCAGACCTACTGATTAACAATTAGCTGGTTTCTACTTCCTGCCAGGTTTGATGTTCAAAGAACCTGCATACAGTAATCAATGATTTTTAAATCAGTTTACAGAGCCAATTTGTAGACAGCAGTCTTCAACGCTCTAAATTTTCTAACAGCTTTGAAACAAGGACTACCCTTCTAATAAGAAACTTCAAAGGAACAACTTGATCTTTTTATGTTGGGACAGAACAATCTAGTCTTTTCACATGTATCAGACATTTCCTGGTTCCTTTTATGTCACAAATATTTATGACGTGCATATATTACATGTAAGTAATTTTCATCTTTTGTTACTGTCAGTAAGCATCATACCATCTAATGATAAATTTTTTAGCCTATTTTCTTCACCAAAAAAAATTCCATTGTTTCACACACATCCAAGCAAAAATAGTCAAGTCTGATTATTGATTTTTGTTTCAGACAATTCTGAAATGAAAATTTTAATTAAAATAATCACCTTACACATAAAAAAGTTACAAGCTGAAATATAATAAAAAAATACATTTTAAGAATTATGAAATTGAAAGTACTTCACTTTTTCACACTTTTAAAGAAAAAACAAAGAAGACTCATTAATTATTAACATTTACCAGATGCATTTGGTGTATCTTCTTTTCTCTTTCTTTTCCTTTCTGTAGTCTGTGGTCTGTGTTGAGGGTATTTGTCAGGTGACTGAAATATGAAATTAAAAAATTTAATTATTTTAAGATGCCAGACCAAGTAATTTTATATTTTGAGCAAATATTAGATAATTTAAAGATGTGTAAGATGATTCAATAATGTTGCTTATAATAATATTTCCTAGCAAAAAAAGCTTCAGCTAATTGAGAGAAAAATTGATTTATGATCCACTTGCGTTTTTCTTGAGCATCACATTACCTTTCCCTACAACGTATGAAAACAACAACAAAAATCATGGGAGGTCCAGATTTTCCTGGTTACTACACATGTGGATTTTGGACTCTGCATTGTATAAAACTTTATATGTACATAAAACTACATATAAAATTATATGGACCAACTGAAACACTTATCAACGAATAACCTTTTAACTATATCATTTTTATAAAATTTTTCAGGGGCTGTTAGGTTTCCAAGATCTAAAATATGAAACTAAACAGCCAGGAAATATTGTCCGAAGAGTATTTCAGCTTATTCTTAGGGTGCATATTGTAACATCTTTTTGAAACAAAGTTTTGGTATTATACTGCTATACTCTATCATGTTATGCAAAATTTTAATGTGTGCCAATTAATTCTGGATATTAATATACTACATAAATTTCAAGACAAGATTATGTCTTAAAAATCCTAATATATCCTGTTCTCACTTCTGACAGTATTCTCCTATATAGCTGCTCCATTACCTTGTATCCTACCTTATATGTAGTATAATAAATTCAACAATTTTCTATTCATTACTGTAAGACTCGGTGAAATATTTTTAAAAAATATTTCTATTTATATAAGTTTTATTATTATTTATGCCATTAGTATGCTTAATAAAATATGTTCACAACATTCTATCTTATGTACTTCAATTACAAACTTATCTTAAAACATCAATTAACTTTAAGACAGAATTTAATTATTACAGACACTCATAACTCTCCAATAACAATTTTTACAACACATTTCTATAAAATGTTTAAACTGGAGAATTTTTTAAAGCCATGCAATACTTATTCTTTTTTAAATGGCAGGTTGAAATGTTAGAAATATTGATAAATGAATTTGAGCAAAAAGAAATATAACTCAGAACCTATCAGAAATTAGCTATGGCTCTCTACAGTATGATATTTAAAAACTATGAAAGTATTGTGTAATTTTAGAGCATCATAAACAAATAAATAAAGATTAAAAGAACTGGGAAAAAATATAGAAATGATGAAATTCAGATAAATTAGTTGAAAAATTCCCTTTTATGAAAGATGAATCCTAATACAGTAATAAAAATTAATTAAAAAAATTAAAACAATTTGCTATAACTATCATTACCTCTGATTCTTTATCACTATTCACAGAGCTGCCACTGGCAGCACTTAGATTAGAATCTTGATTATTATTGCTATTACTATTACTAGCACCAATTGCTAAATTCAATCCACTAGTACTCTGCATTATACCAGTATTCTGATTAACTTGCTGTTGTCCCTGTAATAATTGTTCTTGCATATTATTATTGAAACTCTGAAAGTATAATAAAAAATAGAGTTTAGAAATACTATTACAAATTAAATTTTAAGTAACTATGCTTTAATCCATAAAATATTTACATTTCTCTAATTATAATAAAGATATTATTTATTAATGCTTATTTGGGTCACCAATGTTCACTTGGGTCAACAGTACATTTTATATAATAACATTATATCTAATATACAGTCTCTTAAGATTTCCTGCAGAAATTCATATTAAAAAATAAAGATATAATTCAAAATACAACATAATGTTACATATTTTTATTTAAAAATAATACATATTCTGTTCAATGTCATCACATCTCTATATGCACATATTTTCTGTTTAAAATTAAATATGATCTTTAGCTAAAAATTCCTAAATTCAAAACACAATTGCTCATAATTTTTTTCCTTTCTGTAAAAAAAAACAGAAAACATTATCTTCATTATATATGATTAATTTTTCCATCACTACAAAATCTAAAGTTGTTTAAAATTTTGAAATATTTAACTACTGTTAGATTCCTTCTAATTGCATATCTTGATAAAATAAATGTTCAAAGACAAATCTCTTTCTTTCTTGCCTTCAGTTATGAATATTATTTTAAATAGCTTTTTGTCGCAGTATCTTAAAATTACAATATATATTAAAACACCAGCGTGCAATTTATATATAAATTAAAAATAATTTAATTTGTACGGTTATTAAAAATTAAGTTTTTAAATTTTAACTGCAACCTCAATTAGCAGCAAAAAAAATTAATTACTTCCTCCCCCCCCCAAAAAAAAAGGAGAGGAATCATCTAAGTAAATTATTCAGGGTTACAACATTAAGAAATAAAACATGGATGGCATTTTTTTTTTTTTTTTTTTTTGCAAGATTTTTAAATATTATACCAAACAATTAAAGCTTCATGTTAGTATTTTCAAAAACAAGGCCTATATTTAATAATAAACATTCACTTTATTTATCAGATTCAAAAAGAAAAAAATCCGAACATCTTTTTGAATAGTATTTAAAAATCAATTAGGATGTCAATAAGAATGTTACTGCCTTAGAAGCGGTAACATTCTTATTGACATAATAATTATCCCTTGTAATTACATTTGTAAATGATGATAAGAATCATCATCACTTACACATGTAAAGATGATAATTCTTGTCATCATTTACAAATATAATTACAACGGATAATTAGGATTTACAAATGTAATTCTAAGGGATAATTCAGATGACAAGAATTATCCCTTGTAATTACATTTGCAAAAGTCAAGTTTCTGTTGAAGCTAAAAGCCAATTAAATACCACTTAAGAGCGAGATTCTAAATAATTGACAAAGTATACCTTAAAGTTTTCTACCTTAAAATATAAAAAAGTTTAAAAATATTTGATTATAAAGGATCAAAAGAAAGGATTTTGCAAGGTCAGTCAACCACATCTTTGTAAAAAGCACATATTTAATTAATATGTTTAAAAACAGTGAATCTGGCCTTCAAGATATTTATTCAGTTATATGAGGCAATAAAGGCTGGAAATTTTAACATAATATACTTACAAATATAAGAGAGGTATTTCCTTTTTTACATACTTACAAACTCTGCAAAAATTAAATAAAATATTTGTGAAGTAATTATATTAATATTTTACAGCTGAAAAAATTTTTTTCCTTTTCCATGACCTTTACAAACAACTTGAATTTTTAGTCTCAAAACTATACTTTTCATAGAACAAATAAGAAATTTATTTAAAAATATTTTAAGAAAATAGAATAAATAAATTGGACTTATTTAAGGTTTAACCCCTTGATGCCCAGTGGTCGCACCCTAAAACCACCAATTTTCAAATTCTTTCCCTCTTTTCTTTCCTAAATTTTTGAGTGAAAACTTATCGATTACTTATCTTTTACCTCTAAGTAACACAAAATAACTGCAGAATCATATCTGAGGTCTATTAGTACTTCAAACTGGATACCATTCAAAATCCATTTTCGATGAGACAAAATAACTTCCTTTTGTAATATAAACAACTTTAAATTTCAGAAGTTATTCATCATACATAATCATAAACAATATAGCAATAATTAAACTACATATATGAACAACCTGTGTATATTTATGGCATTTGCTTTGTGGATTCAGGATGAAAACACTGAGCTACTAGACAACTGTGAGGTTCATAATGCTCTAGTCCTGCTCAGCAGTCCTGCCCTGAAACCACTGCTCTTCACAATAGGGTTTGCTGCTTTTAAAAAGGAGTGTTTATTTTTACTGGGGTATAGATAAGGTGTTCTGAAACCCCAGAGTTATTTTATTACTAAGCAGTACATGCACCTACCCAGTGAAAACCTATATTGCTATTTCTTTCTTTTCAGAGATCTTTCATTTTCAGAGATTTTTCTTTGTGCTCAGCATGCTAGCTTCCTGTGCCTAATATTGTGATTTAATCAATTAATTTTGCGATTTAAATATAATGAAATATATTTCTCTATAATTAAAAATAGAAATTGTGTAAAAGTTTTATTTGAAACATTTTATAAATATTTTTTTCTAATGCTGATATATTAAATTCCTCACAAAGGGCTAGAAATAGCTTTACTTGAAGAACTACCTTCAGATCCAGAATCAATGGTCTATGAGGATAAAAACAAATGGAGAAGGGAATACACCTTTGCCCTCCTTCCCTCTTGCTTATGGAAATATAAAAGTTAAAAGTGATGGCTAGTCAGAAAATGATGAGATATACATTTACCAGGTCCTTCCACAATCATACAGGTAACGAGAAATATAACACAGAATGTAGTTAAATAAATTCCCAAATTTTCTGAGGATTATGGCCCAAATGAAGAATGGAACTTCTATGGAAGATGCAAAACCTACTGATATGTTTGTCTTTTTTCACTACTGCATTCTTAGAGAAATTAGTTTTTAAAACTAATTTAGATGAAACTCAAGATGGTCTGGGATAAACATTCTAAGCGGAATTAAAAAACTCCCAAGCTATCTGGATTTCTGATACCTTGGGATGATAACTAATGAAATACTGAATGAAGCAAATGGCAGTAAAAAAGTTCCCAGGCAGCACGTCTCCAAAAATACATGTATTATATTTTGGTGAAATAAGGGTATGGTATTTTTTGCATGTTACTTTTACGAAATTTATATGAATAAAAAAGGCTGAAGATACTGTTGACTCTTTATCTTTATTTTCCACATGTTATTTTTATGAAACTTATATGAATCCGAAAGTACTGGAAAAAAAAAAAAAAAAAAAAAAAAACCTACTGCCTTTATGGTATATTTCACTCGCCATTATACAAAGTCCAAAATGATTGAAAATGAAGTTTATTAATTCAAAATATTTAGTGTAATTCTGGCATTTTACTTTACCTTTTTACACGAACATGAAAAATGGGTACACAAATATTTTTCCCAACAGCATTTTAATGTGTTATTAAAATTATCTCTGTTTGAAATCGTCTTTACGCTTAAAATTAATTTTCCTCTGGTTAAAAGCCCCTATGAATTTGAAAACAATCGTGATATTCTATATAAATTTAAATTACTTTAATCATTATATTCTAGCATTTATATATGAGGCTAAAATTTTTCTATGAATTTTAACATGCGAGCTAAATTTTTATGTACATTTTTTTTCAAAAAAATATATTTTCTTGAGTTAAAGATCTTCAAAATAACTTATTTATTTTCTTATATCAAATTTGTCATTTAAAATTTAACAAAAATGCATATAAGTAAAAAGGATATTTAAAGTTAAAACAATGTGAAAACACATAAAAGATTTAATTTTCGAACTAATTCTTTTGAAACAAATTTGTCATTTTTATTCATATGAACACTTACATTAACTTACACAACTTCTTTTATGAAAATCCCATGAACAATTTAACTGGAATAAACTGCATATTAAGTTTGTGTACTTACTGAATTTGGTACAATATTTGTTTTATTTTATTTAGCAAATGTTAGCAATTAAAATGAAAGAAGACTAGCAAATCATTCATGTCGAGGAATTAAATAATAAATAGAACAGAAGATGCTAAAAAATATTTAATTTCTTGAACAACAGTTTAATGTAGACCAAAGGATTATTAATTATAATCAAAGCTTATGCCTATTAGCATTAGGTATGCATGAAAGTAATCCTTTAACTTATGTTCCTAAGTTTCTTTTCGAAGCACTCCGAGAGCTATTTTTGTCCGCAAAATTTTACTTTTCAGAAGGCAGATCACTCATTTTTGGGAATTGTACGTTTAACTCTATAGCTTGCATGCAAATCCAAATGCTGGAAATTCCCACACCCTTGACCCTCGGTTTGTATACCTAGAATTACGGCGAGTGTCATTTTGATCCCTTGATAAGATATCTGCATATTTTTCTATATGATATAATATATTTGTGAAAAAGAAATTAAAATGACACAATTATGACAACTACAGTTTATTTTAAAGAATGTTGAGACATTTTTTCCCCCCAATTTTCGATAGCTTACATTTCAGAAACACAGAAAATAAAGTGTATAAATATTTACGCAAATTTTTCCAAAAAAAGTGGTTTTTAATCCAAATATTAAAGTATTTTAAAACAAACTTTTTGCTATAAAGAGTACATAGAAATAGAAATATTTTATTTATAGATAATATATTAGCGCAGCAATTTGCACACACGCTTACTGCTGATATTTTCTTTTGTAACTTCCTTATACAGAATCCATGCATTTATGCCTGCTAAGTCCAAAATATTGTAGAATACATGTACTGGCCAACAACGTGATGGTGCTTTCATGTATCTTTTCCTAAATTCTTTTCTTGGGGTATCTTTTCCTAAATATGGAAATCCGTTTAATAAGTATTTTGTCCTAATGTCTACTGCTAGCCAAAATTTTATTCCGAATTTATTGGGCTTGTTAGGCATTACTGCAAAAAACGGCATCTTGTTTTTGTAGGGAATAACTGTTCATCAAACGTAATGTTTCAATTTGGTTTGTAGCAAATCTTACAGTTTTCTATAAAAGTATTACATACCTCGGATATTAGTGCAAATTTATCACACTGCAAACCTGAAGTCCTTGTTAGTTTATTATCAAAACGAAGAAATTTCATAAGTTCCAGAAACCTATCTCTACTCATAGTTTCACGAAAAAACTTTGGTGCCCAAGTCTTGGAGCACAAACTAAGAATTGGTAAGCCCTTGGTGGCTAATGCCCCCCTTACGTACAATAACGCTATAAATGCTTCCAGTTCTGCTAATATAATAGTGAAAGAGTCATTATGAAGTTTACGCTTTTCTTCAGCATCGGTACGTTCCTTTATGACGCTTAAAATGTTTTCATTTATTATTAACTTCCACGCACTAAGAGCTTTACCAGAACAAATGTGACGTTTAGCATAGGATGTCAGTATTGCATTTTCTCGCAATATATTTTGCAAGGGTTGTCGACTAGAAGTATTTTCTACTTTCCATACAGTTCCATTCCTAGCAATTTCTTTACAAGTGTTAGTATGAATTATGTTGAATTTCATATTCCCTTTTGAGCATCTACTAGTTCCCGCTTTGGCATTCTTAGGTATGGCAGAATTTGAACTCGTAGAAACAAATCCATTTATACTTTCACTTGAGCTAGAGGATAATATTGCCTGATTACTCTCTATAATAAATTCAGAATCACAAGATGTTTCATCTCCATCTTTATCTGTAGAATTATTTTCGATTTCAGAACCAGAATCGACATCAGATAGTTCTTGCATCATTTTCACAATTTCTTCATGCGTTAGTCCTTTTCTACACCCATTAGTACATCACTAGAATAAATTCATGTAAATAGAATAAAAATTTTCCACTAAAACTTGTTACGAATAATGGACAAAATATCTACGAAAAATCTACAAACGTTCAGCTCAACCTACAGCTAGTAATAATCTCTTTTCTCTGTTTTCTTTCCACAAAGAAAAGTATTGCAAATTATGTGACTGACAGATGTCAAACTACGCAGACCCACCATATTCTTTTCCTTTGTTTGTATTTTGTTTAGCAGGTGCAAATAAAAATAGTTTACAGAAGTAACAGTGCTCGGATAATACAATGGAATGTATTCACACTTCTTTTCTCTCAAAGAGGTCAAAATGACACCTGTCATATTTCCAAGTATAATCATTTGTTAGGGCTAAAATAAAAATACAATTTTCTTGAAATCTTTACTATTTCGTAAATCACAATGATTTAGGAAAAGTCGAGAAAGGATTAAGATATTTGCGAAAAAAAAGACGAGCTGTCAGAGATAAAAGTTCACTAGGTGTCAAAATGACTCCTTCCGTAATTCTAGTGTTTAAAGGAGTAAAACGTTTCTCATTATATATCATGCAAATAAAAGAACATGGATGACACAAATGTTAATGGAACATCGGTTTGAAAATCATTTCATACCCGAGGCTCATCAGAATTCGGTTGGTTTACCTGAGAACATAAAAATTGTCCTGATTGTAGGCAACTGTTCGGCTCACACTTCAGCTAATTCTTAAAGTTTTAGTGAAAGATAATGTATCAGTACTGTTCTTTCCTCCAAATTGTATGTCAATCATTAAGCCTATGGATATTGGAACAGTGTCTGCACTGAAATGTAAAGTAGAATATTTAAGACCCATGTTAAATTTCTTGAATAATGGCCAGCCTATTCAAGAATTTTTAAAATATTTTAGTGTAAAATCTGCTTTGTGGAGCATTGCAAGATCATATGAGGATGTCTGCAGATACTTTAAAAAATGCCTGGCATAATTTAGGGTCAGCTAGCATATGACATGGTAAGGTTGATGAATATGATAGCTGCGGATGTGAAGGTTTTCGGATATCACAAACTAAAGGTTAAATTTTCCAAGTGATGGATTTTTTTTAAAGAAATGTGGAGAAGCGATAATAAATGAAGATGATATAACAGAAGTTTTTCATTGCAATGAAACTGCCCCAATAATTAATCAGTTAACGGATGGCGAAACCTGTACTATGGATTTAGATAAAGAAAATACCACTACCAATAGTGAAGAAAATGACAGAGCGGTTATTGAAAACTAAAAAATTTCGATTGACAAATTAGTGAAAATTTTTGACAGCAATTACAGGACTTGAACAATGGAACTTTGTAACTGAATAAGAAATTCTGACTGTCTACAGAATTAAAGAGAAAATATTAGCACAAAAAAAGCAACTTAAACAACTTACATTGAAAGAAATGTTTAATAAAGTAAACAAATAAATATTAAGCTTTTTTTTTTGTAAATTTTATTACCTTTCAGATCATAAATGCTTCATTATTTCATAAGTCACGATTTCATACTTTTAATTTTATAATTTCTACATGCCATCTTACAAGCTTTAAACTGATGATCTAATATCTGGAAAAATCCCAAATTCAGAAACGCTGAAGTTCCGACAAGTCCGGATGCCTAGCCTAGTCGATTTCATTATTCCATCTTATTATCATACCATTTTATCTAGTTTAGTCGATTCATTATTCCATCTACTATCGAAAAAAAAGAAAAAACTAGACAAAAAGCTCAGATACAATGTCCAAAGGTAATTAATTACATATTATAATAAAAATATGGGCTATGTAGACTGCTTTGATTGTTTAAGAAGTTTAGATGAAATTGACAGAAAAAGTAAAAAATTGTGGCATCGATTTTTTCCCCCATTTTATTGATGACATCATTATAAATGCATTCATTACATATCGAATGCTTCCAGAAAGTGATCTGAATTTAAAAATACTCAGGTTGTACAGAATGGATACTACCAGAAGTAAGAAACAAAGGATCCTTATGAAAGCAAAAAAGACCAAGCCACCTATTAACATGAAAAACAACAAACATCATGTGCCAGACAAAAACAGACTAAATGCAGAACATACACCAGCAAAATGTAAATTCCCACAGTATACATTTTGCAGTATAAGGAAGAAACCTCACAGAACAAGATACATGTTCAAAGCATGCAATGTCGATCTATGCAGTTTCACAAAAAACAACATTATTTTTTAACATTATAAAACATCAAAAGTTTCACAAAAAGAAACTTTGTTTTTTAACATTAAAAAAAAAAAAAAAAAAAGTTTTTCTTAACTATTTATCCAAATGTCTTTATTATGTATGTTCTTACATCTTCATTGCTATAAAAAAATTACATAAATGTTAATTTTTTTATTTTTTCTGATTATTTACTTTGTAAAATAATACAAATTTTTAAATATAACTTTTTTTTTAATTCAGAAATTTTGTCATTTACTGGAAATGTGCATGGAACAAGGTAAGTTTCTTCCTTTACTACCTTAGTAATTTTCAAAGTCCTAGACACGTGCTGGTTTCACAACGCGACCACCACAGATCAATGGATTTTTTAAAATTCATATATTATTTGTCTCTTAGACCATAATATTCAATTTTGAGAGTTTTTTAGTTAAAATATTATAAAAATAATATTGTACACATCAAAGGGTTAAATTTCTCATAAATACAAGGATCAAAAACATTTTATACAAGATGTAATAGAGCTAAATTGGAAAATTAAAACTAACTCTGTTTCCCAATAATCTAGCCTCTAAAAGCTCTTGTTTTCTTGGGTCCAGGATGTGTATATTATCCATTGTGGAAACAGACCACCTAAAATAAAAATTAAGTTTGATAATCAATGGAAAGGCATTGAATCAAAGGTTCTAAAACTAAAAAATAATTAATCTATCAATAATAGAAAATAAAATTTTCTTCTTAATTCCAGACAAAGTTTCTAAGGTCTAAAAATTAAAAATATAATTCATGGTTATTGTCTTTCTACAAAAATTACTGGCTACACTGCTTTTTTTTTTTTTTTTTTAATTAAGAAAAAATGTGCAACTCACTGCTGGAATTGATTATGAAAAGAATCATTTTTTAAACTCTTATTTAAATACTAAAAAAAAATATCAAGAATCTTATGTATTTTAAAAAGATCTTTGCCATTCTTAATGTTTATTCTCCCCCTCAATTTACAACTCACATTTATACAGTTATTCTTTATAACTTGGGAATTCCTGGTAGGGCACTTTTATAGTTCGCTATTTTATGCATTGTAACTATTGTCACACAACTTTATTTTATTTATTTATGATTTTAGTGGCAAAGTAACTTTCTCAGTCATAACTGCAATAAGCAACCTACGCTCAGCTAAAAATACTAGGTTTAGAGCAGTAATAAATCAGTTAAACTTTATTTCAAGATGTTCATTCCAAATAAATCCCGAGAAAGGACGAGAAAATGTTGTAAAAGGGCTAAAAAGAAAGGTAGCAAGCCTTTGAATAGCCTGAACTCACTCATGGTAATTACATCTAAAAGAAGTGCATATTTTTGAGATCATCATCTCTTTAAAACACTCATCTCCATCAAATATAAGCACATTTGGAATTACGGACAGCCATCTTAGAGAGTATTCATTATATTATTTTTTGCTGTACATACATATTGAAATTCTTTATTTCTTTAAAATACCAGATGTTAGCACAGCTTTGCCTGCCACATTTCTAAACCCTGTTTTGTTGAAAAATTTATACGAATAATGGATGTATACTGAGCGCTGTACTTTTCTTTTATGTTAAAACCATATTTTTTTGGAATAGAAATTATCTTCCACATCACCACCAACAGCAATACTATTAATAAAAAAAAAAAATAAGGCTTTTGCTTAAATAAATTTTTTACTTCAACCACCTTTGAATAAGAACAGCATTTCTGAAAGCACTAAACATTAGTACTCAATGTGACTTATGTTATGGCAATTACCTACTGGAAGAATAAAATCATATGGAATAGAGTGCAATAATCCTGTAGAGAGCTCACAGTACATTTAATATTCTTGGATTAATTTTTTTTTCATTTTAATACAAGTAATTCTTTGTCAAGTTAGGTAAGTTTAACAGAAAAAGAGAACTAAAAATATCTATTGTTTATATATCTCATGCATTATAAATTTGCTGAATTTCAATTATTTTTTAGAAATTGCCCTGGGAGGAAGGGGTGGCTTGTCAAAAAGTCATAACAGTAATGTACAGCTTGTTAGCTGATATAAAAGAAAGCACTGGATGATGTGAGAAATATGGCACTTTGTCCAACAACAGAGAATGCTAAACTTCACATTCCATGAAGCTGTACTTCTCAAGACTGAACGTCAAGCGAAGTATTAGAATGAAAATCAAAAACAGCCTTGATGAGAGCTGCATCTCCTTTATAAGAGCTGTTTGCCCTATTTGTTGTTGAGTCATACACACAAGGCAATCAAATTTGGTGAAGAAATGGGATCACTACACAATTATTGATCGATATCTTCAATAAATACACATAGCATAAAAACAGGCAGCACTGGGTGGAGTCGAACAGATGACAGTCTATTTGACAAACATAAAAATAATGCTCACCCAATCCTTCCAGAGCAATGGATCTTTGGAAGAATATGCCATGTAAATAAACAAACCTTTCTGCTGACTGTTCCAGATAGAACAGCAGCAAGATTGGTGGTAGAAATCCAAAAGCACTACAAAGAAGGAACTATTTTTTTATAGCTAGAAGAAATAAGCAGTCACAAATGTGTGAAGCTGATGACAAGTGAATCACAAATATAATTTTCTGGGGCCAGAAAGTGGACTCCACACAGATTTTGATCAAATCTGGGATTCATCCTGATAGATAACTAAAAATTATCCAGAAAAAAGAAACTTCCAATAGAAAACTAAAGAAACAGAATGAAAGGAACTGCAAGACACCACCTTACAACTTATCTCGCTGAATTTATTTTGCAGATGACTCAGCAAGCAAAAAATCATTTCAAAGATATTCTGAATGCCAAAGCTGAACAACATTAAGTATGTATTTCTGTAATATGTACATAAAGTGTTCATTTGGAATATACAGGATCAAAGAAACAATTGAATTTTGAAAACATTTGGTAATTTCGACATTTTTCATAAATAAGAAAGAAGTTTGGGATAAAACTTTCTGGCAACAACTTGTTTTTTGAAATCAGAAATATCATCTGCTACTTTTAACTTTATTCTTCTTCCAAAAGTCACATGTAAATAAGTTGTTGTGAATTGAAGGATATGCTCTTATGCTTTCCAAAGGGAAATATTTCTTATTCCATAATTTGAAAATGATATAAAATGCATGATATTAAAATTTTGAAGCGCAAAACAAGCAACATTATTAATTTGACAAAAGAAAACCATCAATCATTATTTCTACATGGAAAGAAGACTCCATATGAAAACTTGGAAAAGGTATGTACTGTTTCTAATGTTAGATCGCTGGTGAGAAGAGAAAATCTGCTGATATAGAAATTAATTGCAAAGTCTTTAAATACATCAGTAGCAACAATAAATAAAATAACAAACCAAAATTTACAACTTAAAAAATCTAAGAAACATGATGTTAACCAGCTTGTGCTAAGGCATATGGCTTAACAGAACATTTTGTAGAACCCTGTATAAAAACTATTTAGTAGGAAATCAATGGAAATACAGTGTGATCCTCGATGAAGCATGGGTTTACCTAAATGACTGGAATAATAATAAAAAAAGGTCTATTTATTATCAAAAACGAAGAGAAAAAACGTACAAACCTGGTTCCACCAATGCAAAGACAGTTCCTTTAATTTCTACTTTCGTATTTGCGAACTTGTTTCATAGAATAAATAGTACTGATACCATATAAAAAGTATTTTTTTTTATATCTTTTGTAATTAATAATAGAGGAAGAGGTTTGTGATTGTCTCAGTATTCTTTTACAATGGGAAATTAAAAATATGCAGAGTGAGAAAAAATTTTAAATTAATGTATTATCACAAAAAAAATTTTACGTCTGAAATTTAGAGAAAAAAATTTTGTTTCTTTATGGCAGTGACTTTCAAAGAGATTTCATCAAGAGAAAGCAACAAGTCACTTTGAAATGTACCACCACATTCATATATATATATATATATAAAGAACAGAAGACTGATACAGGTATTGCATATCATCCTTGTGAAACCATTATCTGTTATGTGCACTTTTCGGAGATTTCGACATTTTGATTATTATAACTAGTTAACTAACTAAATTTTCATATAAATGACTACTAGGTGACTATAAACATTATATGGTGAACTGTGGTCACTAAAAAAATATGCTACGTGCAACAGTTAAAATATTGTTAAATAAAAACTGCTGTGTGACAAATTTGCACACAGCGAATGTTGGTTTGATAACAAGGAGATATACCTTTTCAATGTATTCCTGCAAAGTTCCCAGACATTTCACCAATGGATTATTGTGCCTTTGCTCTCTTGAAAACAGCTCTTTCTACGTGCAAACCCATCAGGATTGATGGACTCTGGAAAGCAGCAGAAGAGCAACGGAAAATTAACACCTCTGGAAATTTTACGAAAAGCCTTTCTACCACGGAAACCAAAACATATGGATTATAAAAACTTTTTATAATCCAGAAAGAAGGCTATCAGATTGAACATTTAAAAAATACTCTTTTAGACATTAAATGGCTCCAAAATCATTCTAAAAAATTTTAAACACTCTCTGTATGTAAGTCGTATAATATTCAGTTTCGAAGGAAATCTGTAATGAATAAGTACCAGAACTGATAATTTCAAATTACGGATTGCCCACTACTTTCTTATTAATGAACTTGTTTTACAGAATAAATAAGAAGAGGCATAATAAGCAACCAAACAACATATGATGAAATTATTGATACCATAATGAATGTAAATAATAAAATAAATAACCATAATGATGAAATGTAAATTTTCTTCTATCTTTTGCAATTTTGCTGCAGTTTTAAAGATGATCATACACAATAATTTAAGCACACAAACTGCAATCACTTGATGTAGACAAACATAAATAATAGAAAATCTGATATTGTGTAAGATATATTTTCGTATTGTAAATTAAATTAAATAAAAATAACACTGAAACTGATAATGATGAAATTATTGATGCCGTTTAATTATATACCAAACTGCAAAAAAAGAATATTCTGTTAAAGAAAATGATATTTTCTGATTATCCATACCCCTGCTAAAAAGTTATGAAAAACCATTCATGAAGCAAAGCAGCTGTTGACAGTTATGTGGAGCCTCAGGTTACTAAAATATATTTGTGGCAACTCAGTGGGCATGTAGCACATATCTATTTTGATGGGTGTGCAATGAAGAAGTTGTACTAAGCCAGATTTGTACAATTCTCTGATGTTCTTTTAATTAAAAACAGATCTCTGTATATGATGGGGGAAAAAAGCATATGCTTTTTTAACTTTACGGATTGATTGCTCTTGACCTGCAGTTCTTAGCATGATTCCATTTTGAAAATGGCTGTTGCGTTTTGCTTACTGATTTGGTGAAAAATGAGTTTCTGAATTCTCTTAAAGACAGCAATGAGTTTGCAACTTTTTTATTGGGAAAGGGGATAATGCAGATAATTAGAAAGTGCCAACAAATCTAATTCAGTAGCATGCTTATTATCTAAACTCCAATTATGTGGATTACAGACTGTTACAGATAGAGTAGAATGATCCAGATCAAAATATAGCTGGATATTCAGAAAAACATACAGATAAATGGGTTATCCTTTTTCTTATGCAAAATAGAGAATTATTTATTTTTTTAATTTCAACTTTTTATTTTAATACAGATTATACAGTCCAAAAGAAAAAAAGAGAATGAACTCTAAGACAGCTACTTCTAGCTACAGCTAGGATTTTTAGCTTTTCTGCAAGTGGTTAACTTAGAGAAGTGATAATTCAGAAGTCAACAATTTTGTAAATTAACGCTGATTTTTGTTGTTTGACTTCTGAATTAGTATTTATTCGGCGTGTTATTGTGTCTTAATTAGAGAAGTGATGTTCAATGTAATGTTCTTTTAAGAAACACTTTAACAGCTGGTTGCCATAAGAGGCTTCATAATAGGTAACTGATACTTTTTATAAACATTTAATCACTAATGTAATTAATAAAAGATATATTGTACATAACACAGTTATAGAATCATTGTTTGCCTTTTCCAAAGCAATGCATTTGCAAGATTTCATTTCACTCTTAAAAGAGCAAAATCATTATTTTCTAAATTTTCGGCATAAGTTTATGTCTCACTTTAGTTATACATTTATGTACACTAAAATCTAGTGATTCTATGATGAACTCTTTCTCGCAGATTCATCTACAATTCCAGATGATTTTAATCCTTTACAGAAGTGGTTATTTTAGGGAATGTTCAACATTTTCTCAGAAGTAATATTCACTTTAAAAAGCGGCTTTTATGAGAATGTTCACTATACTTTAAAACCCATTTAATTCACTATACTTTAAAGATATTTATAAAGCCTTTTTCATTGTCCGCTCCCTGCTATCATTCACAATGATAATTTTTTTCATCATTCAGGTGTAGGCCCATTATCTTGGATTGCGATTCAGTTCTAGTCTCCATATTTCTTTGATGACCTATAAGATAAATGCTGAATGCAAGCACCTAGAGTAATACCTTTAAAAAATTAGCACTACAGAGAGAAAAAAGGGGGAAAAAATTAGGAAAGAAAAAATATACCATTAAAAACAACCCCTACAACGTTTAATATCTAAAGATTCTGAAGAAAACATTCAATGATTTGAAGATGAATAATTCACATTTGGTTGAATAATTAAATAGAAATATTACTATACAGCAAAATGTGAAAACACTACTTAAATACAGTCAAAGAAAAGAATGCTTATTATGCTCTGTACCACACTGAAAACAATTTTATACTTTAAAGGCCACAATAATACATGGTAATGAAATTTCTATAAAACTTCACTAGAAAGGGACCAGAAGCATCCATCAACGAGGCAGAATGAAAAACATATGAATTTAATATACAGTTTATGGGCCAACAGATAACATTCATACTGGATGATAAAGCAATAAATATTGCTTATGAATACTGGAAAATCTCCTTTGAATGTAATAGACACCTTTAAGTATGAAAGAAAATTCTTCACCTATTCTATAAACTGGTACATATAACTAGAATTTTGTCTGTGTACCATTCCCCTCCAATTAGAAGTTGTTTTTTTGAATGAAATCTTAGAATTCTGTTAAAGTCAATTTGTCCAAAATCCCTAACAAACATGAAGAGATTAACTGAAACTAACTGCAAAGTCATGGAAAGATTTAAATAAACCTTTTTATTTTAATAGAGCTTAGAATATAAATGCACATTTTTATGCTAACAGTATAATAACAGCTTAAGGTGATACAATTAAAGGAACAGTCTAATGCAATTTAAAACACAGACTAGAAGTCAAAGATTACAGAATTTAAATCTTACTCTAATATGGCTCAGTAATTCTAACTAGAGTCAAAATCCTGTTATTGGCAGATAATAATATTAAAGTTGAAAGATACAACTATCAAAACTGGCAGGAACTAAAACATAGCGCATATATTCAAACCAGAAACACCCTCTGTCCTAAAACTCTGAAAACATCAGTTTCATTTATATTCTGGTAATGAAATGCAAAGGAGAACTTATAATAAAGGCTAAAATTAGAAATAACTGGTTAATTTATATAATAACCTTACAAGTATAAAAAAATTAATATTTGATCTGTTTCCATTAAAAAGGACGCTGACCATGAAAGATTTCAAATCCAGATTTATTCAGATTCTTAGCAATCAGTTTAAAATTCAGAAACAATTATATCAGATAGTTTTTATTATTTAATGTTATTGACATTTAACCATGAATTTCCTTTTATATTACAGCATTAAAAACTTACACGCAGGGAAAAAATAATATTTATTAATTCTAGACTTAAAATATTTTTCACATATATAACAGATATTATTTGATTAAAATAAAGATATATTTTTGACTTTAAATATTGTTAAAAATGATTAATTTAATTTATAACCAGACACTAAAAATAATTAATAAAATATGTGATTAAACTATTTATTAAAAAGTGAACTAGTATATTATATTAATTAAATAAAAAAGCTTATATATTTCAGGAATTTTGTGTGTGTGTGTGTGTGTGTATATCTATATATGTTTAAAACAGAGAAAAATAACTAGATTGTGTCATGCAAAAATAAGTAATAAATGTAAATGAACTTTATTTACATATATAACGAAACCATAAAGATACACATGACTCACTTAAAAGTCATTGAAGATACAGCAGAATGAATACTGCTTGTGGTGCAAGTAATTGTGACTGTAAAAATTCACAATACTGTATCATATATAACATAGTAATTTGCTGGAAATAACTCAAAAGATATTCATTAGCACATAAATCAACTTATTCTAACTAAATTCAGATTTTATTTTACATAAAAAATATACTTAAAATAAATACTTTTTCATATTTGTTATTAAAAAACAAAAAAATGAGATTAGGACATGCATACATTTATTTTAATAAAGATATATAACTTTACAACATTTAAAAATAGCATTAAATGCTTTAAAACAATATATTCTGAAAACCTTAAACATAAACTGAAAAACATGTTTCATTTTTAAAAATCTTTCCAAAAATACCGATTATAAAAGAATACACTGATCAAATATTTTATCTTGAGTTAATATTTTACATCTCATCATAGCTTACATTATGAATAAAAAAATTCTTTTTTTGCATATTTACTTTCAATGATTATAATAATTTTGTTTAAAATTTCATACATTATACGACATTTATGAATTTTTATATTTAATAGCTTTTCTTAAACGAAAATAAAACACTTAAAAATTTGTTTATTATTATGCATAAAAAATATGCGTATTTTCTCTGCTTCGATATTTAACATGGATGTAACATGGAACATATAAATCGTGATTTCGATAAAAATTGACTCCGATCACGGATGTAGCACCATTTACGTAATTATATTTACATACTAGAATTCCTCTACAGCTAGTAAAAAAAAAAAAAAAGCTATAAATCACTAATACTAAATTACCAACTTTTAAATCTTTACCGTCTTCATTAAACTTTCATTTCGGATGATTAATATTGAAGTCATGTTAATCATAAACTGTCCATTAAAATTTTTGTATATTTATATTTCTGAGATAAATTTTAAATTCCTATCCTCGATCACATTGTTTAGTTAACAGAGCATATTCCTGTCTTCTAATTAATGAAATCGCACTCCGTTGATCCTTATCAATCTCCTTCACGAATATGCTTAACTAAAACAGAAAATTTAAACTGCATGCATGATACGATATAAAAAAAAAAAAAAAAAAGTCTTCTTTCTAGTCTCACAAATAACATTTCACATTCAATGGAAATCATAATATAATATAAATAGTTACGCCTCAATATCAAGCCATTTACATGTCGCTTACCCTCAACGGTGGTACGATTCAGTTTCTTCTCTCCATCTTTATCGCTTTACGAGAAAAACAATGCACAGAAGTTGCTCCCACTGTACTGAATACGCTATCTAGTACCCTATTATCATAGACAATCAAAATGGCGATTTAATTAGGAAAAATACTCCTTTCCTAACTCGGAAAAGTAAGTGAAAGGTCGCCGAAAAAGTGATAATGAAACCCCTTCTCACCATCTTTCCAAGCTCATTCACAAAACTAAAATTTACTGTGGATCACCAATCACAGATGAAGACCACTAGTGAGCTTAACACCTTAAGCCCTAACTCCTTCCCCTAACAGATTCATTCCTTATTTAAAAGTTGTGTAGCATTTTTCAAAACTATGAAGTCATTTTGAAAAACTGTATGTAGTCGTTAAACAAAAGGAAAGATTATACTTTTATGAAGGTGTACTGATAATTCCGTAAATGTTTAAAAGTTTTATTTCTCGCTTTAAATTTTATTTGCTCCATACTTCACTGTGTCTGCCAAACGGTTAAACATCCATCCATCCAACTTCATTTTACATCTCTGACGTCATCACGATAAACTTGTCGTTGAGTTGGGATGCTTACATCCTGTTGGAAATAAATCTAAATATACTATTTTTTACTAATTCTTTTAAAAGTTTCGTTACATTTAAATATTAATATTTTAGACATATAATGGTTATTTGTATCCTTATAACGTCATAAACTAGAAATGGGAACTATTTAAATAAGATAAGAATGTTCTATTTCAGGAAAATTACTCAACTAAAAACTAATATAATATTTATTTGAAAATAAACGTAAATATATTTATGCTGCTTTATTTTTTATTCTAATTTATCTAAAACATATATTTTGCAAAACAATCTACGTAAATAAATAAATAAATAAAGTCCCTCCAACTTACATTTTCCTTGACTTTAACTTCTACTAGTATAGATGGCTGCCTTCTATTCTTGTCAAAAGATCGAAAATTTGTATTGAATAATTTTGTATATTAACCGTTCTTTAGTAATTTACCAAAATGCTATAAGGTAGGACTTTTATTTTTATCGCGGTATGCTGAGTTGTCTTTCGATTACTTGAAGTTAAGGTTATATATAATTTCTGCTTTTTTTTTTGTTTTTTTTTTTTGTTTGTGAATACTATCAGAAGCTATTCCAAAGATTTGTTTTAAGTTTATAATCTTTTCCCGCGAAATGTAGAAACTACTTTGACGTTTACCGAAAGGCTCGTGGTAAATACCAAAGGGGCATTACTAGTGTAGCGATTTGGGTATGATTGCAACATTAATTAACCGAGAAAGCTATGAGTCATTGTCGGTCGAGGTATACGTAAAAAGATATATTCGAATTAGGTTTTTTAAAATATTCTATCTGTTGCATGCATTTAAGCATGAATATTTATTATACTAGATAATTGTATGAAGCCTATGAACTAACACATTTATTAAATTTCAAACTCATTATTTAAATATTCCCATTTATATATTTCAACTTTCAAGTGCGTTTTAATGTAACTATATAGTATATGCAGAGTATAGTTCCGCCCCTTCTATCTTTCTGTGTTTATTTAGTGTTTATTATTGTGAAGATGTGATATAAAGAATGCATGGTGAATAAAAATTAAACTGATGTGATTTTATTTAATCTTTTATAAAAAATTTGGGTACTATTCGGTTTTGAGGGCCTTAAAAAATCGCCAAACTATTGTTGATGTCAATGCTGGCAAAAATAATTGCGGCAAGAAAGGAAGTATAATAGTAAATAACTATTTAAGATTGATGTTTTAATTTAGAAAGGTTAATTTCATATAATACGTTTTTTTTTATTATAATTTATATGAAAATAAGAGTAAATAACTATTTCAGATCATTATTATAATTTATATAAAAATTGCTAAACATAACTGAATGGATGCCTACATTGCTATTTCGCTACCGACTTGTCGCTAAAGCATAATTTCATCTCTGTTGTTCAAACGTAATTTTCTATAATGAATGATGCCTTTTCTTTGAAAATATTCTTGGTGAAGTGCAGAATCGTTCACTTATTTGTTTACTGCTTTTTACACGGGTAGAAACAACTGTCAATTTTCTTTTACTTTTTAAGTGAAAATAGGTCAATGTGTACATAGATAAAGTCAAGGGTGTGCGCAGTGCCATTTTTGTGCAAATCTGGGATTTTTTTTTGAAGTGAAAATAGGTTGATGTGTATATGGATACCGAGTATGTGCAATTCTTAAAAACGTGTCAAGCAGTGGGTGATTTTGCACTTTACCCAAAATTCTATTGCCAAGTTTTTGTCATGGGCAATTCCCAAATTATTAAATAAATAGGATATCAAAAAAGGGTTTAAAAATTAAACTAGTGTTTCAATGGCATCTTAAGAAATATAGAACTATATTATATGTATAAACCATTGCGGATATAAACTTACACAATCTGAAATCAGCACGTACGCTAGATTTGGCGCGCTGTAAAATGGGCGCGTTTGCTAGATTTGGCGCTTTTGCTCATACATTTTCGCTCCAATTTTTTTTACGGCTCTTAAAACCCACTAGTACCAAAACTTGAAATAAAAGCATTAAAAATTTTGGATAAATAGTTTTGTTCTGTTAAATTGCAAAATTTTTAGCTCAAACTTCTGTTGTGCATAATATGCAAATTCATATTAAAAGTCCTATTTAAATACTGCTCATAGTGCCATATACCACATATACCACTGTTGACCACATGGAATTGGGTAGAGTAGACTTTAAGGTACCCCTTGTATTATGGCGAAATTGTTGTTTGATTTATCGCCAAGTTGTTTCATTTTATGGGAGCCTTAGTAGTTGAATGCTATGGAAACCCTATTGTGACATAATCGGGTGCACGATTCTGGGAAATTTTGAATCATGGGATGTTTTGTAAGCATTTTTGTGGTGTGTGTTGGTTTGATTCTTTAGACGGTAGAATGGCCGAATGTAGTAAGATTAATTTGAAGTTACTGTATGATTTGGAGCGAAAGGGGAAAAGAGCTTTAATTGACTGGTGTGTAAATGAAGATTTACTTAGTAGCCATTATAAGTGTCCTGTATGTAGGAAGGATATGCGTTTAGTCGAACGTAAAAACCGTTTAGATGGATTTGAATGGGTTTGTAGGAAGAAAGGTTCAGATGGTCACTATGCGAAGCGTTCGATCAGAAATAGTACCTGGTTTGAAAAAAGTCATTTGAGTATGATTGATATTTTGATTTTTACGTGGCTCTGGGTGTACGAAGTGAACTCGAGAATCATGGTAAGTGAATATTTGCATTTGGTAGTGCTTAAATGTATAACATGTTTTTCCTTTTTTATGTTATTTTATTGTTTGGTTTAAAATGTATTTTATTGAGATTATGCATTTTTTGTTTGCCTGTATTGCTTCGCAAGCCAAAATAACAAGTCGAAAAATCGCACAAAATTTGTATCCATGTACCGCCAAAAATCGCCAAGTTTTGCCAAGGGGTACCCTAAACTATAGTTTTACCCATGAAATTTTATTTAAAATGTAATAATCCATAATGGAGCATTGAATCTGCCTTCAGCCTCCGTGGGTGAAGGTTGCTCTTTCTTGCGCTCTTCGATAGATGGAGAACACCCATGATCCTTTGCCATTGGGCATAGCTATCTTGCAGGATAAAACCTCGAGGTTGATCTTTACATTATGGTAACTTGGCGAAAATTTGGCGACCAACTCTCCTACAGCAACCCTCTATTTTTTTTTTCCCGCCGCCATTTTGTCTTCACAAAGTAAAGACATGTTTCTTTTCTTTTTATTTACGGAACACTTCTTTCAACAATCTACTAGCCGAATTACACTTATGCTAGAAATTTTATCTAACAAAACTGCTTAATCATGACAAATATTCACTGCAAAATTGGGAAAAAGTGCACAATACCATACTCCTTACACGTTTTTCAAAATAACACATACACATAAACCATGTACACGCCGACTTAATTTTACTTAAAAAAAAATCCCAGAATTACACAATGGCATTGCGCACACTCTTCACTATATCCATGTACACTGCTTTTTTCTCATAAATTGCACAAAAATGGCATTGCGCACACTCTTCACTATATCCATGTACGCTGCTTTTTTCTCATAAATTAGAAAAATTTCACAAAAATACATGACAATTTTCTGAATCTTTAAACCCGTTAAAAAGAACACATATGAAATTACCTGATCGCAAAAAAGTTTATACCCTTTCCAAATATGAACATTTCCACATATAAAATAAATAAAATATCCAAAAACTTTTACCTCTAAATCATCTATTATATTATACACGTCACCAACG